GAAAATATTTATAAGCACACTTCTGAAAACAGGAACAAAATTATGGGCCTTAGCAGAAAATTTTTAACGATTATTGGGTAAAAATTATTTATGACTTTTAGTCTCAACTTGGAGTGGTGATAAATAATAAATTTCGGACACAAATGGACCGAAAATCCTCTAATAACTGAAATAAATTTACCGCTAAGCCGTCGCCGTCGGTTTTATTCAGAGTTTGATTAAGGAAAACCTGTGATAAAAAATATTTCTTATTATAAAATTAATTTGTGTCCAGTAAAGGTAAGGACGACAACAACGCGAACTGATTTTATGACAAATATCATAAAATTTGGGAAATCATGGAGCTCTTTTGTAAAGAATTTTTTGATTCTACCAGATGAATAAAAAGTATGTTTAAACTATTTATTTTTTGGAAAAACTAATTGATGAATGATGAAGTACTATAAAAATGTTATGTTTTCAAGAATAACATTGTTGATTTTTTTTTAGTTTTTGTGTTTAACAAAATTTTTTATTTTTTTAAAAGGGCAATCTATAAAACCATTTTTCTCATGAAGGTTATGATCTAATGATTACCACTACTCGTATCTACTTTATTTTTTTTTTTCATTTTTTTTACATAAATTGCAATTTTGACAAAAAAATCGCATAACTCAAAAACAAAACAAAATTTCGTTCTGAAATTACGATCACATTTTTTACATTACTTTAATTCATTATAATTATTATTTTCTGGAGGCAAATGATTAAAAAAACCGCTTGATTCCATACTTTATATTCACTATGTATAGTTCTAGTGATGCATTTTTGGAAAAGCTTTGGGGAATCCGTAAAAATTTATAAAAATACCTTGTCTAATTTTTTTTGAGCTATGATGAATTATAAATTTTACTAAGCTGGCAACCTTGCAGCCTAAATAATGAAAGTAGCGAACAATTACGGTTGTTTTTGTTTCTCAAGAAACAAAAGAAAAATGACTGATATTAAAATAATTCTTATCCATTGTTGTCAGATATAATTTTTGGTAAATTACACCTAACTTTTTTTAATAAAAAATTACTTGTGCAAGTATTACACAAATAAATTTTTACTGTTGTTAACAATAAAATAATTTTCTGTTTTAGAAAAGGTAACCAACTAACATAGACCAGAATTATAAAATTTCAACTTTGATGCTTCTAAACTTCGTTTTACAGAATTTTTTTATAATTTCTTAAATTTTTTTTAGAAAATTTACCATAACAATCCAACGATCTTATACGTCATTTTTGATCACTGTGTATAGTTTTATAGAACAGAATTCGATAAAATTGTTAAATATAGAATGTTACGTTTGCACAAATTGGTCATTTCTAGTAAGCACCCTGTATAAAAAAATTAAATAAGTGTTACACCAAACGGTAGAGTAAAGTCTTCTTTACCATTGTGCATAGTTTCATTTCTCTACTAAAAAAAATGTATCGAGAACTTGAAACGTAGGTACTATGTCTGAAACGTCAAATAAAATGACAATTTTAATAACTAAATTTTTGATTTACTTTTAAAAAGAACGGTCCTATTATTACCAATTTCAGCTCATTTTGCCGTTTTATTTTTCGACTTGTCATTTTATTTGAGTTAGGTCAAAAACAGACATACGTTTTCAGATTCAAAGATGACTCGATGACAAATTATCTTTCGATATCTATAAAAACGAAGAAAAAACATGATAAAAAGTTGAATAGATCGAAAAATTGTTCGCTTAGAGATTATTCTGTCTCTATTTAAAAAAATTCAAAAATTGCAATGTTAATGTTGCACTGTTAATTCTAACTTAATGATTTTTAGAGAATCATTGAAAAAAAATTAAAAATTTGAAGGATAAAAACCCCGTTTTACACAAGCCAAAATAAAATAATTAGCGTTACAAAGTATGTACTGTTTCAAGGCTATGTCCAAGCATTATCTCCGTTTATATCTATCGTAGATGATCCGTAAAACACGTGAAAAGATAAATTTAAAGACAAGAATAAATCATGCAGTACTTTATCATAATTAATGGTTATAATACAACAATTGTCACATCTAATATCAGTATTAACTTAATACAATCTTCAAATATCTGTTCGAAATTTAATTCAAAGGTGTAAAATCCAACCAAATTCCTTCTTTGGTAGTGGTGATGAAGGTTTTGCAGTCCATTTCCAGGGGAGTTTGCGTTTTTTGATTTAACGTCACTTTGAAATTTCTTAGTAAAGTGGCTAATCCTACTTTGGCTTGCAACATTCCAAAACGTAAACCTGAGAAAAAAAAATAGAAAAAAATCATCGATTAGTTAAATAATCGAACCAATGCAAATTCTTGGTCCTTCACCAAATGGCAGCCATGTGAATGGTGGCCGACTGTTTTTATTTTCTTCCGAAAAGCGCTCCGGGTCGTATTTTGATGGATCAGGGTAGTATTCAGGATCATGGTGAACACCCAGAATTGGGATTACCATCATGGTACCTTTATCCAGATGGAGGTTTGTCCCAGCGACGTCATACGCTTTGGTACATTTTCTATTCAAGAATGGTACCGGTGGATATTTTCTCAAGGTTTCTGTTTTTAATTGTAATTTTAAAAGAGTTTTAAAAAAATATGATTATTAGTTATTACCATTGAGAACTTGTTCCATGTATGTCATTTCCATGAGAGCCTCGTATGTTATTTGATTATTATGTTTAGCTAACACAGTTTTGATTTCCTCACGCAACTTGTCTTGGATTTTCTCATTGCCACTGAGTTCGAACAGAGTGAAGGTCATTGCTGTTGAAGAAGTTTCATAACCAGCGATGAAAAAAACAAAAACTTGTGCTGCCAATTCATTGATTGTCAATGCAACTTCTTTACTTTTGTTGTTATTGTCAAGGAAAGTTTCGTCATCTGTTACTTTTCCTCTATTTTTCAGTTGTAGCAACAAATGGAGGAAGTCTTTTCGATAGACGTTATTTTTTTCTCTGTATTGTACCGTTTTCTTTACTAAATTTAACATGTAGTCTTCCACATCTGGTTTGGTAGTTTTAAATTTCACTAAATTGAAGATATACATAGGCATCATGAACTGAATGAGATTTTTCAAATTTTCCCAAGTTGTGTTTTGGAAAGTGCGTTTTCCGTAGTACCTAAATTCGGAGTCTGGATTTTTAAGACAATTACTTTCAAGCCCAAAAGCGCAAGAGCAAATGACATCTGTGGTGAAATTTGCGAGAGTTTCTTTGACATCTAGGGTTTCCTTCCGTTTTGCAGCTTCGCTCACGTATTTATCAAGTCCTTTCGCACAATTTGCCATAGTTTCAAACATCATCTTCATTTTACCTGAAGTGAATGTTGCTATCAATTTTGCTCGAAGATTTTTCCATTTGTCGCCTTCTAGCGAAAAAAGGTGACCACTCAACGGATCAATTTCTTCATTTACGTAGAAACCGCGGTCTACGAAGTGTTGAAAGTCCTTTTGCATTATGTTCTTTATAATTGCAGGCTCCACAGGGATGTAAAAAGGACGTGCAAACATAAACACACCACCATGTTTAAGGTTTTTCGCCTTGAACTGTTTGTAAAATTCGGCGAATTGCTCGCCGAAATTGCACTTTGATAGAAATAATTTAGCACAATTGCCGAAGGGAATTGACGGTTCTAAGTACTCAAGGCCGCGTTTCTTCCAATATGTGAAAGACCATTTGTAGTAAACCACTAAACCGGCAACGATAGTTACTAAAATGGCCACCAGGTCGAATGTTAAACTCCCATTTATTAGAAGCATTTTTTACTCGCGAAATTTATGCACGATAATTGACTTGACTTTTATTTGGCTAAGATCAGATCGACTTTGATAGTGAGAGGAATTCTCTGATTATAAATAAAGTTAAATTATGCTTGTCATCAACGAAATTGTTATCATGTCAGCAAAAATCTATTAAAATGACTAGTCATTTTTGGTACTTGAGACTGGCTATGTACAACAAATTAGTGTAATTGTCTATTATGACAATCATTGTTTATCTGCTTTGCTGTTTGTCTGCACTGTTTATGCTTTGCGAGGCCAATGTTTACACGTGCAAAATTATTTTGACAAAGGGACACCTAAATATTCAAAAAGACTTCATTTTGTTATTATTTTTACATCAGTATTTTATTATTATTATTTTTGGAATATGTGTTGTATGCAGGCTGTGTCAGAACTCGCGCCCTAGAGAAAAATTTCAAGTAAGATATCAGGAACATGGAAAGAATGTTTAAAAAATTCTGTCAAAAAATTTGGAGATTTTTTGTCATTGATGATTTTGTGTATGTTGTTTTATAATTATTTAGTAAACGTACAAAAATTTGCCCATAAAAGCCACAAATAACATTAAACGTAGTTACAATTTAAGATACAGATTCCTTGTTTTGTCTTCTAATAGCCTGTAGGAAAAAAATAGCAAATTATTTTTTAACAGGAATAAATAGTCAAAGTGCAAAATTTAAACTCTCGTAAATTCGAAATTTTTATAGATAGATTTTTTTTAACATTTTTTTCCATGTTCTTAGTATCCCAACCTACATGGGATTTTCTCAGGGGCGCAAGTTCTGGCACACTACCTTTGTATTTTTTTATTCATTGATTTATTTATTTTTTTCTTACAGTTCTTCTTTTCTTCATTTTTTTTAAGTTCTTTTTAAAATTATTTCTCTTCCTGTTTTCTAATTTTTTTCTCTTTTTTCTACTTTCATTTTTTTCTCATTTTATGTTTTTTAATTAATTTTTTTTAGCTTTTCTGAAGTTATGAAGTTATAATTGTCGAAATCGGTGCATTAGAAGCTATTTTCAGAGTTGATAAAAATGTTCGCAATTTATGCGCTTTTTTGAATTATTATTTTTAGAAATAATAATTTTAGAGCAAGATTTATTTTTGTTTTTGTGGTCGAATTATAATTTAATTTTTGCGAAAAACTTAATTATCCATAACGATTAAATTTTTATGTATATATTTTTTTGAATTATTGAAAGCTAATCTGTGAGATTTTAATGATAGTTTAAGAATACCTTCAAAAAATCAAAGAGTAATTGCATGCCTAAACGATCACTTTTAAATCCCATTGTTTCCAATTCTTGTAAATTTGATATAATATATTATAGAACGTGTAAAAACAGATGTACTTATTTTACCGTTTTTTATTTTTTTAATGTAGGTATATTAAAAAACAGGGATATACAAAACGTACCTCAAAGCAAAAAAAAATATCTTAAAAACAATCAACGTTTTGAAGTGATTTTTTTTCTAAATAATAGATATAAATGTGAACTTTGCGCACATGATAATGCTTGTTTTCTAAAGCATTGTTTTTAACAAATGATTTAAAAATGTGTTGTTTAAACAAAATTAAAATCAATTACGCAGGTTTTTAGATTCTCAAAAAATTCATGTAAAAACTTTCATATTTCAACTCTGTGCTCACACAAGTTTTATGACAGACATTTTAAAAACACCTGAATTTTTTTTTTAAGAGAGCTGCAAAGTTCATACAATCTGGGATCTTCTGAAAGTAGTGTTTCTATGGAAATTAAATAAAAAAATATCAACTACCGTCATTGTTTTAAATAAAACACATAATTTCCAATAATTTATTAGCATTTATTTTTCACAAATCAGTATTTAAAAACAAATTTTTAGACTTCGCGTTTCTTTTATGGGGTTTGTTAAACTAGAACAATATTTTAGAAAATTGCAATGTTTTTCTAATTGTCAACAAAAAGTATGGAACCAAATTTTTTCTGAAAAAAAATTTATAATCTATACTTTTTGTTCATCTTGTATAGCAAAACGTAATATTTAAAATATTTGAAACTACCCATCTGCATGTATCTTTGGTAAACTACCAAAATTAAGATTGAAGCAATTATTTTATAAAATACATTAAGTTAGAATTAATTCTATATTAAAATCGAACAAAGTTGGATTGAAAATAGCTCAAATTGCTTTATTTTGGAAGAAAACTCTTATTGAAGTCAGTATTTGTTTGAAATACTTTGATTCAGGTTGATTCCCAACTTAAAATTGAGCCAAATCGATTTAACATATCACAAATTGCCTTATTTCAGCCTAAGATTAAGATTGAAGCAATTATTTTATAAAATACATTAATTTAGAATTAATTCTATATTAAAATCGAACAAAATTGTATTGAAAATAGCTCAAATTGCTTTATCTAAAGAGTAGATATTTTTTGATACATATTAATGATATTAAAAAAAAATAAAACATAAAGAAGTTAGAACAATTTACGAAAATCGGAAACGATATTTAAAAGTGATGGTTGCTCCAAATAATTTTTTATAAAAATTAATACATAATCAGAATTATTTATTTATTAGAATGCATCACCAGACTAAAATGAAATTTTTAGAGAACTTTTTTAACTTACCTAATTTCTCAAAAATTTTATGTAATTTATCAAAATACAAAAAACCAACCGTGAATTGTTTTTCTAGTTAAAAAAAATCATCACCGATTTTTTACAAGAGGTGGTTTGGCATGTCAAAAAAGCCCGTGCCCCCGGCGCGTGAAAATTTCAAAACACATTTAACATTTCCATCAGGTAAGCGTTAAATTTTGTAAGAGATTCTTTTATCCTCGAATCTATCGCCTCAAAGCGAATAACCCTCTGTCCGTGACGTGGTTTAAAACCCCCACATTTGCAGTTATGAAACGCGATTCTTGTTATTTCAAACCGGTGTCATTAATATGCATGAACACTTGCCTATAACTTGCACCTCGACGTTCCTTCTATCCGAGTTTCTTTGCCTGTTTTGCGCCTGGCACGTGTACGTTCCGGCGTCTTCGTTGCGTTGAGTTTGCTCCACCACCAGAGTGCCGTTTGCGTAAACCCTCTGACGACGGTTCACCGGCAGGATTTGCCCTTCGCGTTCCCACGTTATTGTCTCGATGGGGTATCCCGCCACGGGACACTTGATCACGAGGCTGCTTCCGGCCACGCCGGTGATTTTCGGCATTTCCCGAATGTAGGGGAGGCCGTAGACGTTCACCCTAAATATGAAATACAGGGTGATGAAAAAAGGCGCCCACGATTGAAACAGGCGCGTCCTTTTTTATTGAAACATTGTGACCATCATTCCAAACATAGTCTAAATTAGTCCGGTCAAAATAGACATTTCAAATAACTAAAATTCCGACAGAGCTAAATTTTGGTGGAGATCTTGGGTACACTATTAGGAATAAAGTGTCAAAAGTCCCCATCGATCCTATGTGTGCTAAAAAAGTTATTCGGGGTCAAAGGTCAAAATTTGACGTTTTTTACATTTTTTTCGAAAACGGTAAGTTTTATCAAAAAAGTAGCCCAGACAAAAATTATAGATCTTGAAATTATCTACAAAAATGGACCTTATACTTTTTTTCTAAGAATCACCATTCCTGAGATATCGCGATTCTAAAAGTTGAAGGAGTCACATTCTACATGATATGCACATACAGAGTGCGCCAGAACTTCTGTCTCAAAGACAAATGCCATGTAGGGTAAGGTACCACAAACATGGAAAAAATTTAAAAAAACATCTATCTATAAAAATTTCAAAGTTATGAGAATTTAAATTTTGCACTTTGACTCTATTTATTTCTGTAGGAAAAATAATTTTTTTGCTACAGGCTATTAGAAGCGGAAACAAGGAAGCTGTACACTAAATTGTAACTCTGTTCAATGTTATTTGTGGCTTTTATTGGCAAAAGTTTTGTATCTTTACTAAATAATTGTAAAAAAACATATACAAAATCATCAGTATTATTAAATAGACATAAAAAAATGTCAAATGTCAAAAAACAAATGTCAAAATTTTTTGACGGATAGAATTTTTTAAACATTTTTTTTATGTTCCTGGTATCTTATCTTACTTGAAATTTTTCTTCTACTTCATTAAACTGATAAATATCTCGATTCCATTAGAATTTAAAAGAATTTATTTGGTAATAAATATAGAATGTTTAAAAAATCGCGCACTTCCTTGAAAGGGAATAATTGGGTAGTCCTCAGAGTATTGAAAAAATGTTTAAAAAATTCTATCTGTCAAAAATTTTTGACGTTTATTTTTTGACATTTGACATTTTTTTATGGCTATTTAATAATACTGATGACCTTGTATATGTTTTTTCATAATTATTTAGTAAAGGTACAAAAATTTTGTCAATAAAAGCCACAAATAACATTAAACAGAGTTACAGTTTAAGATACAGCTTCCTTGTTTCCGCTTCTTATAGCCTGTAGCAAAAAAACTTGGAAAATTATTTTTCCAACAGGAATAAATAGAGTCTMAAGTGCAAAATTTAAACACYAATAACTTYKAAGTTTTTGTAGATAGAATTCTTTTTTAATTTTTTATATGTTYCTGGAACCTTACCCTACATGATGGCATTTGTCTTTGGGGCGCGAGTTCTGGCGCACTCTGTATGTGCATATGATGTAGAACGTTACTCCTTCAACTCTTAGAATCGCGATATCTCAGGAATGGTGATTCTTAGAAAAAAAGTGCAAAACCATTTTTGTAAATAATTTTAAGATCTATAATTTTTGTCTGGGCTACTTTTTTGAAAAAACTTTCCGTTTTCGAAAAAAAAATTAAAAAACGTCAAATTTTGACCATTGACCCCGAATAACTTTTTTAGCACACATGGGATCGATGGGGACTTTTGACACTTTATTTCTAATGGTGTACCCAAGGTCTCCACCAAAATTTAGCTCTGTCGGAATTTTTGTTATTTGACCACTATTTTTATGACTAATTTGACCGGACTAAAATAAATTCTTTTTAAAATTTAAATAGTGTGTCTAACAGCACAAAGCGGCAATATTGCACAAATTTCTTTTACTAAAAAACTATTTTACTCAGGAATTTTTCGTATCTAGGAAACCTTTTTGACTTTAATCGTTCAAATTTCACAGAACAAACAACATTGAAAATTGATTTTTTTGTTGCTACCGTTTCCAATAATTGAATATTACTTGGAGATTTTCTGTATCCTAGGATATTTACAATGTTGCAACTTTGATAAATTTTCTTTGGAGCCAAGAAATAGTATCCAAACATCTTCAATAAAGTTTATTTCAATAGACTTTTTACTAATTTTTTTAAGAACACCGTCAACAGTATCAAAATCTAGACTTCAACAATGAAATTATTTTAAAACTGTATATAAATTTTGAAAATTATTTTTGATATTTGACATTTTTTATGTCTATTTAATGATACTGATGATCTTGTACCGTGAAATCAAAAATTATCTTGGTCAAGGGTGGTTGCGGAATGGAAAACGTCTGTCGTTGCTTATATCATCTTTTTGAAATAATTCTGTTAATGTTTGACTCACTGATAGCGTCGACGTAATCTACGACAATTATTTTAAAATCCATGACCACCGTTGACCAACAGAATTTTTGATCTCACGGTATATGTTCTTTTTTATAATTATCTAGTAAAGGTAGAAAAATTTTGCCCATGAATTTCACAAATAACATTAAACAAAAAAAAAATTAGTCAAAGTGCAGTTCCTGTATCTTATCTTACACATTTTTCTCTAAGGCGCGAGTTCTGGCGCATCCTGTAGAACACGTAAAAGTGGGCTTTTCTCATTTGGAATATGTCAAAAGACGCGCATTGGTGTTATTTTTTTTTAATAGAAAAATAAGGAAAAGACGTCATGTTCAAATAAAATTTGCATTTGTACAAAATGAATTATGAGTCAAAGTAAATATAGGGTGTGCTAAGTAGACATTTTCAAAAAGGCTACAGAATTCAAAAATGGCCAAAAAGTCATCTAACAAAAGAAAAATAGAGATTTGTAAATGAAAACACTTTTCAAATATTATCATGTTAACATTTACGAAAAAAATTTTGTTTTGTAAGTTTTTTTTCTCAACTTATCCCATTTTATGTTTTTTACATAATTTCTTCAGCTTTTCTAGAGTTATAAAGTTATAATTGTCGAAATCGGTGTATTAGTCATCTAACAAAAGAAAAATAGAGATTTGTAAATGAAAACACTTTTCAAATATTATCTTGTTAAGATTTACGAAAAAAAAAATTGTTTTGTAAGTTTTTTTTCTCAACTTATCCCATTTTATGTTTTTTACATAATTTCTTTAGCTTTTCTGGAGTTATAAAGTTATAATTGTCGAAATCGGTGTATTAGAAACTATTTTTCGAGTTGATAAAATAGTACAATAATATAATAAGACTCGTACAATAAATTACTGAAAATTTATTATAACAGTTATTTCTGTTGAAAAACTGTTTAACAAACATTACCCAACATATGAGTGCAAAAAAGTACTACTTTACGGACTATTTTGGGATACTTTATAGACTATTTTGTTTACCTTACAATCAATACCAGAAATAAATTGTAGAATTTTTTGTAGAATTTGCACGTTAATATTCTTTTTTTATCAAAATTTCAACGCAATGTAGCTCCAAGTGCATGAATTTTATTTTAATACATCTAGAGAAGATTGATAACAAACTTGTTAACGTTAAGGATTATTTCAATTAAAGATATATGCTATATGTGTGTGGAAAAGTACTACTTTACAGACACTTTTATAAACGAAAATTTTTCTTTTGTAGAATTTGCACGTTACTATCCTTTTTTGCCAAAATTTCATCGCCGTGTAGCTGCGAGTGCATGACTTTTAATTTTTTATATCTACAGGGTGATTCAAAAATGAGGGACCAACTCTCGAATGGTCTAAGCATTTAATAAAGAATTCAGGATTTGTTTCAAGATTTTTTAAATTTATTTAAAAAAAAAAGAATTGTCAATTTTCACAATCTTCATGATAAAAGACAACTTAGTTTTTTTTCTGATGTTGTTAATTTAATTTATTGTTGAATTTGCTAGTCTGTTATTTTTTTACACTATATGACTTAAATTGGTGATTTTTTCAACAGGTATTTGTTCATTGTTGCAAAATCTGACGTTTCCGCTAACTAAGTTTAAGATTACATAATCAGAATAGCCAAAAACTTAACCCAAAATCTAATCTTTAAAAAGCTATATCTCGTGAAAAAAGCTCAAACAATTATTTGTTATAGGAACTTTTAACTTAGTTGGATCCTCTACCACGAACCAAGAAATGGTTCCACACTTTGGAATCACCTTGTATAAAAAATAATCTTGTGTAATTTTACGGATGATTTCAATTAAAGACATATGAATGCGAAAGAATAGTAATTTACGGACTATTTTGATTTACTTTACGGATTTTGCTACAACGCGACGTAGCTGAGAGTACATTAATTAAATAATTAATAAAAATAAAAATAATTAATAAAACGTCATAAAAGAGTCACTCTGTTATGACTAATGTCACAAGGCATGAAGTAAAAATTTTGTTTTTTCGCTTAAGCGTTTTTACTTTTTTTTAACATTTAGCAATGTTGTCTTTTTTCTTTCTTTTTTTTTCTGCGTCAGCAATTTCTGGAGAGGTACATTGTAAATTCCACTAGATGAATCAAATCCAAAACCTCAATACAAATTGCGATACTGACTTATGATTTATGATTTCATTGCAAAGTGTCCTGATTATTTTGTTCATTTACTTTCTAATTATTGTGTTGCTCTCAGCTGAATTATTTGCCTTACTACGTTCGACAAAATAAATGTTCAGCTTTGCTACATAAACTATCCTAATAATATGATATACTATTATTTGTCTTCATTTCTTTTTAACATTCATAATTTGATTTTGTTTTTGTGTTGTTTTGAAAAATATGCTGAAATAACATTGTTGTTTTAAGTAGACACTTTTATGGCTAACAAAATTAATATTCCTTATATTTGAATTTTATATGTTTCTTAAATCTTTGGAAAGTATGAAACTTCAAATGGTGGATGCTCCGGGATGAATTAATCTTCTTTTTAACCATTTTAAAAGAAATACATAATAAAAATAAAGACTTATTAGAAGTAATAAACAAGAACTGTTAAAATGTTTTATTTTTTTATTTACAATTAAGCATTAATTTTCAGAAAAAACTTATAGCTGATCATCCTCAAAGAGTTTAATTTTCTCTTTAGAAATATCTAAGCATATTAATCAACTGACTCATATTTTTCAAAGAAGTTTTCCTGGAATTAAATAAGAAAAAAGTATAGTTCAACAATTCTTCAAAAACTTTGCTCGCTTGTTTGTAGTCTAGTTAATAAAAAACCAACGATCCATGCAAGTTAATTAATTATTTTCTGAGATTATCTCTAATATCTTGGCTTTTAGAGTTTGTGAAAAAGTTTTGCGATTTCTTGTTTTATCTTGTATAAAAGAAAAATGAACGTGTTATGGATTTTTTCACATTGTTTGCCATTAAATTAAAATTTAACAGCTTACAAAGTGAAACTCGAGACCTCTTTTTTGATGTAGTTGATTTGAATAATTAATTAAATGACTTTTTGTCAATACATTTTTTTTCTTATTTAAATTTGCTAACGGTGTCTCATTTTTATAATGTTTACCAGTTTTTAGACAAAAATGCTACTTTGTGGTTCAGTTTTATTAAAGCACTCAGCTTGGCTTCGTGCTTCAATCTACGTGAAAAAATTTCTAATAAATGTTCTATTTGAAATGAAAATGCAATAGGGTTGACTCATACAAATGCGACTAAAAAAATATTTGCAAATGAAAATTTTGGACGAAATTAAACAAAAAATAAATTTCTAATTTAGAAGAATTTATGGAAATTAAGGTTTTAGATAACTCTAGAATCATAAGGTATTATTAGTATTAAAATTGATAGAATTATAAAAAACTGTTTGAAAAATCAAAATTAAAAAAAAACTACAGATCAGAAGCTGTAATTACAAAAAGATTAAATTCAGAATTTTACAAATCTAAAATAGTAGAATTTCATATTTTAAGAATTCGGAAGTTTTGAGCATAAATATTTACATTTGATTTAAGTAAAGTTCTAAAAATTCTTCCAAAAGTTTTAACGTTTGGAATTTTTGAATTCTAAAAACCGATAACTACCACAACATTTTAGAAGCAAAAAAGGGATATATTTAGAAATCAGAAACTTAAAATTTAAACAGAAACGTTAAAAATTACAAAAACACTGAATTCAGAATTCTGTAAACTCTGAAATTAGAATTTGAACGTTTAAAATTTTCAGAATTTCCAAAAAGTTCAGTTTTCCAATAAAATTTTTCTTCAACTAACAAAAGAAATCTACTTGAAAATTTCTAATAAATGTTCTACATATTTGAAATGAAAATGGAATTGGTTTGTCTCATACAAATATGACTGGAAAAATATTTGAAAAGACAAATTTTGGAGAAAATGAAACAAAAAATGAATTTTTAATTTAGAAGAATTTATATAAATTGGGGTGTTAGATAACTTTAGAATCATAAAGTATTAAATTAGTTTTAAAATTTATAGAATTTTAAATAAYTGTTTGAGAAATCAAAACTTTTGAAGAGAGTTTGAGCTTTTGAAAATTTCCACTCTCAAAATCTTAAAAAAAAATAAATTCATTAAAAACTACAAAACTACAGATAGGAATCTGTAATTAAAAATAAATTCAGAATTTTACAAACTTAAAATATGTAGAATTCCATATTTTAAGAATTCGGAAGTTTTCGGTATTTACATTTGATTTAGGTTGAATGTTAAAACTACAATTTTTAAAAAAAATTCTAGTTTCTGAAATTTTTGAGTTCTAAAAACCGATAACTGTCACATAACATTTTAGAAGCAAAAAAGAGATATATTCAGAAACTCAAAATTTAAAAGAAACGTTAGAAATTACAAAAACTCTGGGTTCAGAATTCTGTAAACCTTGTTTTAGAATTTAATCGTTTAAAAATTTTAGAATTTACAGAATTCAGTTTTCAAATAAAATTTGTTTTCAACTAACAAAAAAAAATAATGTACGTAAAAATTTTCCTAGAAATGCCCTATTGGACATGAAAATGCAATCGGATTAACTCATACAAATATAACTGAAAAAGTTATGCAAAAAAAAATTGACAAAATTTTTAAATTTTAAAAAAAATATGAAAATTGAAGTCTTGGATATCTATAAAATCACGGAGAGTAAAATTAGCTCTAAAATTTTTCAAATTTTAAATAACACTTTCAGGAATGAAAACTTTTGAAGAAGGTTTTAGCTTTTGAAAATGTTTACTTACAAAACAACTACAGATCAGAAGCTGTAAAAAGAATTTCAAAAAATTTAAGTTTTTAGAATCTCTGATTCCTAACAACCGACAACTATACATTTGAAATTTTAGAATCGCTGTTTTTACAAGAAAGGAATTTAGAAAACTTGAATTTAAAATTTTAAGATTTGTAGATAACTTAATTAGTTTGTATTTTTATAACTCGAAACTGGTGAACACGACAGTTACCTGGCACTGTGTGATATTTTCCCTACGCTGTTATGTGCCGTGCAAGTGTATTCTCCCCCATCTTCCGCCTTGATATTGGTGATATTCACGTGGCTGATCACGTCGTCTTGGATCGTGACATATTGCCCAACCAAAAATCGCGGATGGTCGGGAAGCGGAAATCCGTCGAGAGTCCACGTGAACTGCGGCGGAGGATTTCCTGTTGCAACACATTTCAACGAAACCATCGGTCCTGGCTGGAGGGTCTGTTCGGAGAACCAATAAATCAGCTCAGGACCGGCGTCGCCCATATCGAGTTCGGCAGTGGCTTGGGCTTGGTCCCAGTTGTTGCTCACCATGCATTGGTACATCCCGCGGTCGTCCTTCGACAACTGGCGGATGGTGAGTCGGGGGGGCTCCGCCATCACCTCCACGCGGTGGTCGGGCGCCACAGGCTTGCCTACCATCAAAAAAACATTTTTTTTCCTTCCGAAAATAATAGTATACTATGTCATTAGTAGGTAAAATGTCTTTTCCTACGATCATATACGAAACTAGATCATAACACACATACATATGGCAATTATAATTATAAATAAAGGAAATTTATTAGATGATCCTCATGCGATAGCTGAGGCTTTCAATAGTTATTTTTTATCAGTGGGACTTAATAACGGAATGAGCCAACACAATACAAAAACAAAAAGGGTTGCAGAGTCGTTTGTGATGTTTTCGGTTACACAATTAGAAGTAGAAAATGCAATTTCAAACCTAAAACCCAAAAATTCATRCGGATAYGAYGGTATATCAAATAATTTAATTAAAAAAATKACTAAATTTATTATTCTTCCCTTGACACATATAATAAATAAATCCTTTTCAGACGGCGTTTTTCCACAAAAACTCAAGCTCTCTATTATTAAACCTTTGTTTAAAAAAAAAGATCYTCGACTGACGGAAAACTACAGACCTATTAGTCTTATACCTTGTTTTTCAAAGATTTTTGAAATTATAATGCACAATCGAATTTTGTCTTTTTTTAACATTAAAAATGTTATATCTGAAAGCCAAAATGGCTTCAGAAAAAAATTATCAACCACAACAGCCATTTATGATTTTGTCACTAAAATATACAATGCTAYAGATGCTGGTAAGTCGTCACTAGGTGTGTTCGTAGACCTTTCGAAGGCATTTGACACTGTCAGCCATAGTATTTTGTTAAATAAACTTGAAAACTACGGCATCCGGGGACCTGCATATAATTGGCTGGAGTCATATTTAGGTGGTCGTACGCAAAAGGTAATGATAAAAAACAGCAGAGGTGAGTTTTTGTCATCTGAAAAGGAAGTGACTCTGGGGGTGCCACAGGGTAGTATTCTGGGGCCTTTATTGTTTATAGTGTACATCAATGACTTGATATACAATTTRGAAGGGGGCGATATGAGTCTCGTAAATTATGCGGATGACACCAGTATACTATTTTGTGGGGAAAATATCCATGATGCAATCAAAAAAATGAAACWGCTCTTTCCACAATTACAGAATTGGTTTAACTGTAACAACCTTCGACTTAATGCTGATAAAACCAAATGTATTTCATTTCAACACAAAAAGGCGGATACATCAAAAAAKGAATCGTTGAACAATTTTGGTTTCTTCTCTAAATTAGATCCTAATACGAATTTTCTCGGCCTAGTACTTGATCAGAACCTGTCGTGGGAACAACACATTTCTAAGATATCAGCAAAACTAAGTAGTATTTGCTACATGTTAAAAGAACTTAAAAAAGTTGTGGGTTGYGATACATTGATGWCTGTATACTATGCACATTTCTTTTCCATAATGAAATATGGCATACTTTTCTGGGGTTTATCTTGTAGTAGCAGTCAAGTGTTTAAGTTACAAAAAAGGGCACTAAGAATTATTGCAAATATAGGATATTTAGATTCCTGTAGGGGTATTTTTAAGCATCTTGATCTTTTGACATTTTGGAGTTTATACGTATATGAATGTCTGTGCTTTGTTCATCAACATAAATATTTATTTAGAAAAAATTTGCAATTGGATATACACTCTACTCGCAAAATGGAAATGTATCGATATCCGTTGCATAAGACCACATTTATAGAAAAAAGCTGCTTTTACCAGTGTTTAAAACTTTACAACTGTTTGCCGTCTACCTATCATAACTTACCATCCCACGTATTTGGATGGATGGTTAGAGCTAAACTTGTTGAAGCAGAGTTATATGACATTGAAGATTGTACGAAAGATATCTTTTGACGAATACCAAACACCTTGTAGTGTCACTGATATTAATAAAGTTATTTATTTATTTATTTATTTAATAGGTCAAAAACCTGTCCGATTTATTTTCGCACTGTGTGTTAGAAATCTAACGCACAATTCACACTCGAATGTTTTGTATTTTTTCATTCAATGAAAAATGAATTGTATCCATTATAAAAAATAAATCGTTATGAAAAAAATATATGTTCGTAAGAAAAAAATTATTTATGGTCGTAGGAAAAATAGTGTACAACACTTGCAGGAATGTATCTAACGCACTCGGGGTATTGCCTGCACTCGGCTAACGCCTCGTGCGCAACTTTCCTGCTTGTGCACTTTCCGTGCTCGGTATGTAATATACTATTTTGATTGTATTTAGAGCCCAGAACTTTTCAGATGGAAAAGGGTTTTTTGCGTCATAAAAGTATTCGTGCTAAAATGACAAATATAACCTTTTTGTCCTAGAACCATAATTTTAATATTTTTTCAAATTTTTTTAATCACAAATAGTTTATTTATTGTTTTTAATATATTTCGGGACTTTGTTATCGCTTTTATGTCACTTTATATTTTTTCCTACTCCGCTTTAAGCAAGTCAAGTTTACTATTTTGATTTTGCAACCGCAACCGGAAGTAAAATATGCGAGGTTTTTGTTAGCTACGAAAGTAATACTTCCGTGTCCTGGATAAAAAACAATATCGTCAAGGTTTTATAAATATTTAGTTAAAATTTATCTTAAATGCAATAGTACAATTTAGTTGCCAGTGTCGCTATAAAAAAGTCCCAAGCTATAGAAATAAGAATGTAACGTTTTGTGTTAAAAAAAGATTGTAAAATATTTAAGAAGGTAATATATGGACCAAAATAATCAGAAAAGTTTTAATAAACATGGGTCCGCAAAGTCGTTACTTTCGAAAATATCGAATGTGAAAATTTTTAGAATTTGTACTAGAAATTTCTCTACAGTTTTTGTTTAAACATGTTGCAAATAATTATTTCAAAAAACAAATAATTTTCAATATTTCCAAAACCGTTACTTTGCGGATCTATATTCATTAAGATTTTTTGTTTGTTTTGGTCCATACTATTACTTTCTAAAATATTTTTTTAACACCCTGTATCGCCCTATCGCCACTTCTATCACTTCTCAGAATATTTTTTCTGCATGAAATAGTGAAACCTCAGAATTTGTTAGTAGTAGTCAGTGGTAACAGATGCTTTTTTTACACAGAGATCAAAAGTTTATGACCCATTTATTTAAAAAAAAATGAAGTTGTGACGTTGCCAGTGTGATGATAGCTATGGCACGAGATTTATGTTCTCGCATTTAGAGTTTCTATACCTATTTCTAATATAGGAACTCTACCCAAATTGTGTTTTCAAGAGAATTTTTTTTTTTGATTTTGCGCCAAAACTGCACAGGAATAGCATTTTTGCTATTCCTGAAATGCTCGAATTTGTAATTAAAACTTTATTATTATTCTGACTCATTTTTCTCTTGATTATGGATAAAGGATAAAGCAAGTTAAATAACAAAAATTTTATATTTTTTTAAGTCAATAGAAAAATGAAGGACTTTTCTTAACACTGAGTCAGAATCACAATCATAAGTCAAAATAATAAAAATTTGTTCGTTTCATGTTAAGCAAAAAATGTGATTCTTTTGAAGCTTTGGCGTGAAATCAATGAAATTTTTTTTTACTTTTGCAAATCCAATCCGGGGACATACTGAATTTTATTTATTTTTTTTATTTTTATGATCTGAGATATTATAAATTAATTAAAAAACATTTATTCTCTATGACCAATTTTATGTTTTTTCTGTTTTTTTAGAATCTTTTTTTGCATTTTTTAACGTCCTAAATCCGGTTACTAGTCATTAGGAATAGATACCAGGTGAATATGGAACCGAACATTTTTTGCTTAAACTATTTATTTTTTTGGAAAAACTAATTTATGAATGATAAAGTATTTTAAACATGTGATGTTTTATTAAGAATAATTTTTCGACATTTACTTTTGTTTTTGAGTTCTACATTTTTTTTTATTTTTTAAATCATTTTTCTCGTGAAAGTTATGATTTAAGGATTACAACTATCTACTTTATATTTAATTAAAAAAAATTACATAAATTGCAATTTTAACAAGAAAAATCACATAACGTGCAAACAAAACAAAATTTCATTCTCCAAATATGATCACAGTTTTTATTAACTGTTTTAAATAAAGTTCAAAATTATTTAATAAAAAATACATTACGGGTCAGTATCGGAATTTGTGTTGAAATTTTCGAAAGTGTTTATTAATTTAACTAGTGCAATTAGTAGTGCAAATTGTTGAATGCTGATAATCTACAATGTACCTCTCCAGAAATTGCTGAAGAGCAAAAGAGACAAAAAAGAAGCAATATTGGTAAATGTCAAGGTAAAAATAAAAATGCTTAAGCGCGAAAATTGAATTTTTACTCCCTGGCTGAAAAGTAAAACTTTTATTTGTGATATTTAGACATAAAAGTGGTCACTTTTGTGACGTTTGCGGACGAAACACTTTTATTAAGAAATTTACAAAAATTAAGATGTTGTTGACGTTTTTTGACTTAAGACTTCGGCTTCAGAACAAATTTTTCATAAGAATGTTATTAAAAATAATCTTAAGAGTTTCAAAAACAAAATTAAAACAAAAAACTGCTGTGCAGTTGGTTTTGTGCATATAACAGATATTCTAAGCAAGAGGTCATAAAAAAGAAAATTTTGTCTCAACAATTTCGGTGATGAAAGCAATCAATATTTTTTTGATTTTTGAAAAAAGCATTGACAAAACCATTTTTACGAAAAATTAAGTAAATACGAAACTAATCTATGAAAATACTTAAAAAATTGGAAAAGCTTTTAGTGTTTTTTGTACCAAACATCTTTTTTTTAATCTGGTTGAAAAATTCAAACACAAAAAGCGTGAAGTTTGAAAAAATTTGCTTTTATTAGGAAACTACACTACTACAAAAAAGCTTTTTAGTGATTTTTGAAAAGCTGTATCAAAAAATGATCGTTTCTAGATAAAAAAAAAAACTATTTTTGAGTTTCAAGTTCTGGGATTTGTTGTCACTTATTTTTTTCTGAGTTACGGTTATCTCGCAATTCTAAGATATAGCGCGAGAAAAAAAATTGTATCTTTTTGGTCCACCGATTTGGGGAATTTTTTTTAGTTAAATCAATCTATGGGCCGAATAGATTGTTCATTCAGTTTTGGTTTACTTTTTTGTATTTTTTACGTCAATTTGTTTTTTGACTTTGACTTTTAATGAAAAACAATCCTTTTGTCTTTGATCAAAATATGGGTAGTTTCAAAAACTGGAATAAAGGTCCTTTTACGATTTTTTTAAAATGAATTTTTTTATCCTTAGCAATTTGGTAAATGTCATGGTAAAAGTAAAAACGTTTAGGTGCAAAAATAGAATTTTTACTCTCTTTCTGACAAGTAAAATTTTTACTTGTTTTTTTTTTTAATTAACGTCGTTAATTAATTCGAAAACTGTTTTTGAAGTTGGCTGGCTGTAATAAAGGGTTTACCGTTGTGCAGCCAGCTGACTTGGGAGACGGGGTACCCGTTGACAATGCACTGGAAGGTCGCCTCCTTCCCCACGTCGACCACTTGTACTTGAGGTTGAACATGTGCCGACAAGGGGGCTGTTATTTCCAGCGTCACCCTCACACTCTCCTCGCCCGCTGAGTTGTTGGCGAAGCACACGTACACCCCGCGGTCTTCCAGCCGCACCTGCAACATGGAACACACAATAAACAACAGCGTATAATACGCTGCTATCTAATAAAGCCCGATTCTCGCCGCTGCGTGACTAATGGCGCCAATTTTCACGCAGGGAAAACACACTGACACTGGAACTTCGGCCTAGGAGTCAGCGATTTATTGCAAGAGGCGAGAATTTAAAGCATGAGAAGGAATAAAGGTAGTGGTAATGCAGTCTCACAGTGGCAAATGCCGACTTTGTCAGCTGGATTAGCAAAAATCCATAAAAACGGCCGAGATAAAAAGTAAATAAATCAGGAAGAAAGACGGGAAAGCTTAGAAGTTTTACTGTTATGCGTGTTTTACAAATAGCACATCTTGGGGGGAGTTGAGAAATGATGAGATGTGTGCCTGGAGTTGTGCTTCATTTGATAAATTATGTTGTTCACTTTCACTGTATTTGCACAATATTTGTTTTTAAAAAAGCTAAGTGTTGAAAAATGGTGTTGTTTTTTCAAAATTTTTGATAGTTTAGAAGGTATTGTCGAATTAATATTTTTGCTATTTTTGCCTTTACCAGCTATTTTCAATAACTATTTATCGCAGAACTATAACTATAAGATAGAAAATTAAAAGTGCTTTCCAACGATACTAAATAAAAAAATTCAAAGTTATTAGCTGAAAATCGAAATTTTTTTTTTTAAACTTTAACCAAATGCACTCCTAGGGGTCCAAAAGACTTAAAAAAGTGCAAAAACTTGTAAAATACTGAGGGATGCGTATAAAACTTTATTGGGTTGAGTTTTAAAAAATCGATTTTGAGTTTTTGAAGGTAAGCGATAGCAAAATCGTGAAAATAGTCAATTTACTTTAAGTCGTAAAAACGCTTGAAACATAGTTTTCTAGACGTAAAATTACGCGCAGAGAAAACTGCAAAATTCGTAATAGTTTTGAAGTTATAGTCGGATTTTATTTTCGATATTTTTGAATTTATCAGAAATTTTCTCGTAGAGCACTGATCTTTTTTGTATATGATAGAAAATTAAATTTTCTTTCTAACGGTACCAAATATAAGAAGTTATCTCTAATAAGTCCGGAGTTATTGGCATTAGACCGCTCGGCGTACCGAAAATCGCCCAAAATTTCGATTTAGCTTGATTCCCAACTTAAAATTGAGCCAAATCGATTCAAAATATCACAAATTGCTTTATTTTAGCCTAAAATTAAGATTGAAGCAGTTATACTAATAAAATATATT